TTTTCCATGGTTACAAATGAGTAAAAGTAGGTGAATAAGCCATGTTCAAGCATAAATTTGTAATTAGGATTTTATATTATCAGGCTCTGTTAGCTTACCTGACAGTTCAGTTACATGGGACAGCATTCGGTGCATGAAGAATTGGGGTGCTATAAACCTGAAGCATCAGTCACTTACCGAAGAAAATGAAGACCATCATGGTGGACACCTCGGGGCTGCTCACCTGGAAGAAAAGCAGACGTGTTTACTCCTACCACCTTCTTACCAGTAACTGCCCAGAATAAGGCTTCGGCTTCCGCTCTTGCTTCCGAAGAGCATCACCGATTCAAGTCAGTTTCCTATGTCATCACTTCCTCACCAATCTTTCCTGAGCTGCGAACTTTCCTAATTATGTCCAAATTCAGTTATCTTCTCCTGAGTGTACTGAGCTCAGATATTATGCTTCCAGGAAAGCCCTGGAGCCAGATACTAAGAAATGATACGTACTCTGCACAAACAGGAAAAAAGGTAGGGTTTTTTTTTCTATTTTTTAAAATTGAAATAGGGTTGATTTACAATGTTAGTTTCAGGTGTATAGCAAAGTGGATTCAGTTATATGTGTATATATATAATATTATATATATTTTTCAGATTCTTTTCCATTATATGCTATTATAATAAATTGAATATGGTTCCCTGTGCTATACGATAGGTCCTTGTCATTTATCTGTTTTACATATAGTAGCGTGTATCCATTCTTTTCCCTTCATCTAGAATACTAAACTGTGTCAAAGCCTCCCCACATAGCTCAGAATTCTCCTAGACACTTGAGAATGCTCATGTTGTGACTCTCTTTTTTCTGATATTTCCTTTGTTGCCGTGGTCCAGAATATCTTTGAGGGATACATATAATCAATTACTAATAACTCAGGTAAAATGAGGACAGAGTACTGATTTAACAATGTGGAAGGCAGAAGTGGTGATAATAAGAGAATTATTTGTGGGAAGGATTGGGGGAGCAAAAATCTAGGCTGAATGGATTCAGGATAAATTGAAAGCAGGATAATTTTTGATAATAGGCATTTTGTCTTTCAAGGAAATTTGCTATAAAGAGAAACAGAAAATTGGGACCGTATCTGGAGAAGGATGTGAGGTCAAGGGAGAGATATTGGAGATATTAGATTATATTTGTTCTACCTTAAAGCACTTTTCCTGACTGCAAATAAA